AGACCTTGGCCGCCGTGAGGGCGGGTGGGAACGCGACGAAGACGCGTCTGCTCTGGTTCCGAACTACGAGGCTCACCGTGTGCCTTGAATTTAATCACACTTAGATCGATTTTATCCGTCCAGCTTACCACTCGTATGGAATCCACCATTACGGAACAGCAAGCTGATTGCCCAGGCAGGATTTCCTAAGCAATCATCTATAATCTATTAGAATGACTACTAGGCCACTTTATTGTTTGGGAAGGGGGGAGGGGTTGGCAGAATTGCTTAAGAAGAAGACGACTCGATCGCTGGGACAATACTTTTGTTCGTCTGACGTTTCGAGATCCGTCGCGGATTCGTCGTCAGAGACATAGTCAAGGAGCAGTAGCAGAAACGGGTAATACTTGCTTGCTTAATTCGGTTGACCAAATTGTGAAAAATCCTGCCAGGACAGTCAGCTTGCTTTTTTGTAATGGTGGATTCCATAAAAACAGTAAGCTGGGTGGGTAGAATCGATCCAAGTGTGATTAAATACACGATGAGCCTCGTAGCTCAATGGTAGAGCTTTGGCTGCGCAGAAGTCTTCCCTGCTGTGTGAGTTAGACTCCCACCTAGGTCGCCAGTTTTTTCACAAAATGGTCAACTGGATTAAGCAAATCTGCCGACCCCCCCTCCCCTAATAATTAAAGTAACATTAACTGGAGACAAAGGTAGTCAATATATCTAACGTGAGAGGAGTAACTACACTTGTGTGGAAGAATTTGAGAATAAATCTACCGGGTTTGAAGCAGCATACTTATTCCAACACTAAGCCTGACAGACAGCAAACATCTCACTGAGACTGTCCTGCAGCAATAGAAGTGAGTATGCGAAGTCCAGGAGGCAGTTCAGAAGAAGAGGATGCGACTATTGAAACGAGTTTTATTTTCCTGACGTTTCGGATTCCGTCAGGAATCCTTAATCATAGGTACTGGTAGGATAATCGGAGCCATGCACAGATTGCACAGTATTTATACTTCGTAGCGGTCATCCGCGTGCGTATTATAATTATCCGTCCGTTTCCCGTAGTCACCGCTTGGATGATTATCCTACCATTACCTACTATTAAGGAGTTCTGCAGCAGTTGAAACAGATACTATCCAAGATTTGTTTAGTTTCAAGCTCTGATGCAACACGCACACCAAATGGGCCTATTTGGGAGCAGCTTAAGTAGCCGACGGTCTTCGTAGTAAGAAAGAACGTTCAATCGAATATGCTCCATTGTAGGCAGATAGTATTGCTGACAAAGAAAAGCGAGACTGGAATGGCCATTTCTGGCTTATTAGCCGTCGACAGTCAGTCATACCCAGACCCAAATGGTGTCTCATCCGAGTCTCTAACTTGCAAGCTTTTTGATCAGAGTCAAAGGTCCTAACCACTGAGACACGAGCTCGTTGTCCCGCCGGTTTAGGTCAGGCAGAAGAGCCCCGTTAGCGGTCAGGTGAACGTTCATCAATGAATGCTCGGATGTCTTCATATGCTAGCGAGGAATGCTCAGTGAGTTTTTGGAGCAACGAGATTGCCTATCGAAGGCTCGAAGGTTGCCTAAAGGCTCAATTTGTTATGTGTGTAGCAGCTGCTCCGATACTTCTCTTCGCTGGTCTTCCGATGCCCGCCAGGCTAACTGTAAGGTGTTCTGCCAAGGCGCTGCGTTCCCCCAAGGCTTGACCTCGCAGCTGCGTCAGTGTTCCCTTCTTCGGCATCCTGACGGCCGAGACAAGCCCCGGTGACCTCAGCTTATTTACGGTCACGCTGGCAGACAACGCTGTCCAACGCACGTCGGCCAACCTGCCTTGTCACCCGTGGTTCCTTGTGTTTATGTACCCCTTTGACCTAAACAATCGTACACCTTTCATGTCACCCAGTACAAAAAACCTTGTGCTGCATTTTCAATAACTGTCGAAGGCACAGCAAATTTCAAACGTGAGCAGTAGTAGGAGGCAGTGGCTGCATGACCGGTCGCAGGCAATATGCTTGAAGAGAGCAAATTCACTGCGTCATTTCTTAATGCACCCTGCTCTGCGTGTGTCTTAATCTTCCTACTATTTATAAATTAGTAGCAAGTATTTTATAATTTTAATTAGCCGCGGTCAGCACAGGTATGGAAACGCTTTCGCGTACGATATTGTTTCACTTTACACTTTTCACTCCTACAGGTTGAGATCGTGCACAAGGTATCCAGCACCTTCCTATGTACTGCCGAGCTTCATTTTATCTACAACTTTACAATGCAGTTGTCAGACTTTACCGGGCTGGAGACCCAGGATCAGGCTGCCCTGCTTCCATCAGCGCTACTTGAGATAGCTGTAAGCGTTTTTTGGGGTCAGCCCCCGCCCTTTGCAAATTATATTAGGACAGAGTTGATGTTGGTTTTCTCCTCCCTCTTTTTCTGCTCTCAGATGTTTCGTCTATTCAGTGAATACAGAGAGTCCCCGAATGTCTCTGGTGTTACAACCTCAAAACTGACAGATCGCTATTTCGCAACGAAATGGTCCGGCATTTTGACCGGCAGCGACCTAGAGAATTTCGGCTTTGCGACTTCGCATGCCCTCGTGGATAAAATGTTCGACTTTGGCGCCAGAGTCTCGCAGTTGCGTCTTTCTCAGAGTGAAGTCGGCTTGCTCATGGGAATAATTCTATTTACCCCAGGTAATTTAAGGAATATTTCATCACCTCGGTCCAACTTGCACATTTAAAGCGAGTCCTGCTTAATTCTTCTTGCATTTCCGTTTTCGCATAGAACGTCCCGGACTCTGTGACCCTGAAAGGATCAATGAACTACAGGACACGTGGGCCAACTTTCTGTGCGAGCTCTGCGAATACGCAGGATCACACACTCGCTGTGCACACCTGCTCCTTTTGCTTCCGCAGCTGCGAGAGTTCTGTGAGAAATCTTTGCTGAGTATCAACAGCCAATGGCGTGAGAGTGACCTACAACTGCCCAACTGCACGCGCCAATTTATAAGTCCGTCGTTGTAATTGGCGGCCGGAGTGTGTCTTCAAGGGCATTGCCACGTCACGCCCCCCTCCCTTGCCAATGCGTATCGCGTACCTACTGGCACCTCAGGCAGCGGTTCTTTTTTAAAGACCGAACACATCTCAGCGACTCCTCTTCCTATTTTTGTCAATTTTTATGTTTATGGCGTTTTGTACTAGCTTTTTAATCTTCCTATTTGGAATGAAGAGCTTTTTCGCGACAGCCAAAGTGCCACCCAAAAGCACTGGAACGCCCTACCAGGATCTTTTAATGCTGCCATTTTCCTCGAAGCATATGCTTCGTCTCCCAAGTTATTTGATGTAATCGCTCTCTGGATTATGAATGAAATTTTATTTCACCACGGACTTCTCGTAGGCGGTTGTTTTGGACGGTTCATAGATGAGAGCCTGAAAACTAATCGAACGAACGCTGGGCGCACCGACTGCATAAATCTAGACACTAATGGACACTTGGTTATCTAAGCCCCGGAGCATGGGACAACAGGCTAGCAGTCCGAATACTGAGGTCTACTGGCATATGATAGATTTTTATTCTTATACCTGGTATGGTCGCGATTATACCTGATCTGGCAGCCTCCATGGCGTCAGAAATTGCACATCTCCACGCCTGAAGATTGGTGGCAACAGGTCTGGGCAGTTTAACTTATTCTCTTCTCCAACGACGCAGTTGGAATATCGAAAGTCCATGAACGACTTCAATGTCTTGAAGAGTTGTGTCGAGCCAGGTTTTGGGCCGACTCTCTCTCTTCTATGCCCTCAAATGGGTAACGGTGCCGGATCGAGAGCAGTAACACTGGGCTCGTAAGGCGGACCACCTCGGTCATATTTCTTGGATGGCCTAGGATACCTCTTCGATGTCGCGGAGAGTGCAGACTGTCTCATTTTAGAAGAAGTCAATATACTTCATATGATGCATGGCTCTCAAGCAGCGGCTGTCAAATACCTCAACTTTTCGCTCATCTACGCGCACAGGCCAGCATTAAGAATTATGGAAAACGACAAATCGGACAGACGCACGGTATATTCGAATGGTTGGAGGGAAGTACGGTGGACCCGAGTCTTCGTAGCGACGGACATGTCCCGTTGGATTCAAAGGCACTTTCTGAGGTTCGAGAAAACCCAATCAGCGGCATCGTTTCGGAAGACTATGTCGTCTTTACTCTGTCCATTCGACCGCAGGCTTACCCCGAGGTACTTGAAACCGTCTACTTCTTCAAGTCGATAGTCATTATTCGCGAGAGATGCCGTTTCCTGGTCAGAGATGCAGCTCGAAAACAGTGGTCTTCCCAACGTCAGTGGAGAAATCTATAGATTCAGCGGCCTTATTTAACTGTGACACCATAGACTGCAGGTCACCAGTGCAGAAGAGGTCAGTCAGCCGGAGTCCGAGTGCAAACTCGATATCATCGCGTAGGTCCTTCTCAGAATCCAGTCAATAGTGTAGTTTGACAGAATACAACCTTCTCGAACGCCAGAGCGAATGGTCATGGACCAGAACTCGCGCTGGGTGGAGCAGTAATAGGCCTTGTTCGTGGTGGCGTGTTATACCATCCGGTATTCACCATAGGGATTCACGATGGACGGAATCGAGCTCGGTGGCAATAACGAAAAAGCTGGCGATCTTTTGTATGTAGCTATGATGAAATTTAATAATGTGCCTCAGCGTGAGTATTTTATCCACACATCGACGCCAACACCGAATCTGGCCTGGTTGGACACCACCTTAGTCCAACACAACCTAGAATCCACTGAGGGCAACCTCAGTCACTTCTAATTCGAGATGAAGTCAATATACTTGACTCGCAGGATAGTCCTCAGGCAGCGGTAGTCCAAGACCTCCAGTGTTCGCTCATCTTCAGCGCGCAAAGCCCTGCATAGATGCATGGTATACACGCATTTTTGTGCCTGCACGCTAAATCTCGGGAACGACCCTGTTGGGTGGAATGGCTGCAATAACTTTGTCAGCTGGAGAGCACTAGCTCCGTCTGCCCCAGCTCACCCTTGCTGACCACAAAGTGCGACATTCTGATCGACTTCAATTCCATTCATAGGGTTCTTGGTCCTTTTTAGAACACACGATGTTAAACCGTATACTTATAAACCAGACAATGGACAGGGCGACTTGACAAAACGTACAAATGCCGAGTGCAATGAGAGACTATAATCATGTAAAAAGTATTGAAGCCCGACGTTGACGCTTTTGCTTCAGGCTACGACACGATCTGGCAGCCTGCCCTCAGAGACAAACTTTGCCGTCTTTAGATGCCCGCGAACCGCCATGTATATGAGCCTCTATAAAGAAATTGAGCTTAACACACGATACGACTGTAGACGGGCCTTAAGAGTTGGACCGCTATTCCTCCTTTCCCTCCATTCTTAGAATTTGTTCTCTTCAAAAAAGAATCTGCATTACCTTTCTTGCTTACTTCTAAAATGTCCTCGATATAGTCCAGAAACTCTCGTTTGTCCTCGGCCATTTACTTTTGAAGTTGTTTGAAGAGACTTCGTTACTCCAAAATAACACCATTCTTCATTTAAACATGAGCAGTGGTGGTTCGTTCAGAACGGCCAATGTCTTTTACGAACAATGTTAGACTTAAAACGATAATACACGCTGCCTTGATAACTCCCCCTTGTGATGTTATTTAATCGGCAGTGGGCCCTGCGTGAATTGGGTGTAGACCACATTAACTCGAGACTTGATATGGCTGCTAGCTTTGGGCTAGAATGTTTGAGATTGTTTATGGAGACAGAAGAAAAATATGAGCTGTACTGGAGTTTAATAAATGTACATAATAGAAAAATGCAGTCTGTTATATGAGGAGCTTCTCAATGCTTAGCTGTATATTGGTGACGAGAGGTTTCAGTTGAGAGCCTTCACTGTCTGTGACGGCCACAGCGATGACTGGCCGTGAAACACCGCAAGCACGACCAAGAGCTAGGAGGAATAGTAATCGAATGTTTTGGCTTACCTTGTTGTGATGAGATAAACACGTAGGGAACGTTCTTATCTTCACATAGCAAAGGAAGGTGAAGGACGATCTCAATTGGATTAGTGTCAGCGGCCATTACGATAAATTCGGCCTTGCCGCGGTTCAGTGCTTTAGTGGCTTCATTGGCTCCCTTTTTTAATTGCTTGTAGGATGCTGCCTGCTTCACGAGCTCGATAATTTTGGTCGTAAGTTCTGGACTGGCCAAAGGATAGGCCTTGGGATTTACTTCCTCTGCCTGTGAAAAATAGAGTAAAATTCCGAGGTAAAATTAAAAGCATAAAATTATGTCGAAAATTTTTCTGGGTAATTGAAAATGTCAAAAATAGGAAGTGAATATAGTTACGACGGAGGACTGAAGTAAATCTGAAACCCGCTGGAATAAAAGTAATATAGTTGCCGCAAAAAATAAGAGCGCGGTATACTCGCAGTTAAATCGATCAAGAACAAATGGAACAGAGTTACCTTGTTCAGGATCGGGAGTAACAAGTAAAACAATGTATTTTGTAACAACTTTTTTCACTGGCTACGAGTTAAGGTTATGCTAATAGATAGAGCGAAGATAGTCAACGACTGTCAAGTGAATTATCAAAATCAACCGCTCGGATGAAAATCAATGTATATTTTCCTTAGTTTGCTGCAACATAAAAGAACTTTCGCATTACTTCGGATTCGTTTTAACGGCCAAAACTGGGTCATGTAAACGACAGTGCTCTGTTCACTTGAAAAAAGAACGCTTTTTGCAATCGCCATGCACTGATATAATTGGCGGGGCTGTTTGAATGGTCGACGTGGAAGACTGATTCGCTGTGAATTCATGATAAAGCTAATGTGGCTTTAATTGACAGCAGATACATGGTGTTCATTTCCTACAACACCGACACTCCCCCGGCTTATACTCAAAATTCCCTTCTTAGGCCACCAGCACGCTCTTCTGGCACAGGTGGTCTCGCACATTTTGGAACCATTCAACCTCTATATTAACCACCTATACGTATAAAACAGTTATTTCCATACATTTCTACCTACTTTTTTACATTCACATTCGTAGTAATCGCACTATCGCACTAACTTTTGTACATTTAATGCCTTTTGCGTTTTTTTGTCTGAATGTGTTCTAAAACGTATTTAACGGAAACATGCAGGGCATTCTAAACAAATGAAACGACTCATAATGCATTAAATAACCGCCCGTGTACGAACACAACACCTTCGCACAATATACTACACAGCGAGAAACATAGGCCCCTGCGTACGCCAAATCAAGTACAGAGTAAGCGTGAAATTCTCTGAAAGGAGAATATAAAACTGTGTATTCCGGTACAAAAAGCACACAAAGAAGATGGAACAGCATAAATTCTTTGGCAAGGAAACGAGCGCATACGAACTAACCATAAGCGTGCTAAAATCAGACAATCCGCCACGAATTAAGGCAAACTAAAAGTTTCACAATTTGAGTCCGACCTTAAATCCTTTGCTTGAATTAATTGGAAGAATGTTTATAAACCTGTTGTTACTAAAACGAAACATCGTTGCCGATTCAAAGGCATTTTTATTAGAGCATGCAAGGCCCCATTTCAATAATTAACAGTACTCATTTCTAGGAAAGGCGTCATTCGGGAAAATCAATAAATTTATTCAATAAATTTTCGACAGTGAATCCCCAGGTCGTCGTCAGACTTGAAGGAAATGTGCAATAAACTGTTTTTTGCACGTTGCTCTCAAGTTTGACGACGACGTGAGGATCCAGTGGCGAAAATTTACTGTATAAATTTATTGACTTTCCCAAAGGACGCCTTTCCTTGAAATTACATTTCTTAGGATGCCTGCCTTTCACTTTATACGTAACAGTTCTGCGTCTAATATCTCATATTAAGCGCATGGATACAGATTTAGCATTGAAACGCCGAACGGAATTCTGCAGTCATAAGTATTTGTTGAGTGATTACGATCAGGCCAATGCACAGATATTGCAACTGATTCGTATAATGAGGGATTGCTCAAATTCGGATATATGTGGGACAAAGACATAGTTGAAGGTCGAAGAAAAATAGCAAACCGAATAAGTGCTATGCGATTCGCATTTATCTGAAATATGTTTCTTTTATTGGGTGGCAGCAAAACTTGTCTCGAAAAATGATCCGTAGGAGACGCAGATGCTTCATTAATTCCATCTCGTATAAAAACCACAAAGCAAAACCAGTCCACTTACGCGTCCCAAAAAACCTCTCTGGTCCAGGTGCTTAACCGGGCTCTCAGGAGTGCGGTATGCATTTCACTGCGTGGGGCATGCAGGCCACATTAATAAGGGCACTTTGACCATGAGCCTCAGCTCTCCAGCCAAATACCCCACATAGACAGGCACTACTAACTACGAAGCATAGCTTATTATGTCAGTTAGCATTCATCCACACCCTGAAATTTAGCGCATCGTTTTAAGGCCAACATGCGTCTAT